CAGCTGTGGCACTTTTGGTCTGCCTCCCCACTTCGAGATCAAAATGTTCCCAAAGGCCATCTTAAAAAAAAAAAAAAAAAAAAAAAAAAAAAAAAAAAAAAAAAAGTATTTTAGTACATGATTTACAAACAACAAAGAAATGATGCTCAATATCATGCCTGAAGTGGGGGATGACAGCTGTTGTAAAGATGTTCACGGCTGGGGCTCATTTGAGCTTCCAACAATTGAGGCACATTCTGTCCGCAGCCTGCTGTACTTCCATTTTCACTCGTTCCCGTTCCTCCTCGTACTTTTTGGCCAACAGTTGTTTGATGGTCTGAAAACCACACCAAGTCAAACCAGAAGAAAATCAATATATTTAAAATAAATTTGATGAATAAACTACCACTTTAGATAATTTCCACACAAACCTTTCTGGTTGGCAAAACATATGAGGGCTCAAGGAGCTGAACCAGCTCCCTGAACCCTTCATTCTCCACAACAGAGAGGGGCTGGCAGTCCTTTACAATGAAATTAAGCGCAGCCTCATCAAGCATCTGCTTCCTGGAAGCTTGATGGTTAAAAATGAAAAAGTGTAAATTATTCAGAATTATCAATAAAACAAAGTCAGTAAGTTGTAAAATACCTGTTACCTGAGTTCATCATGGGTGTATCATGGATTTCACTCTCATGCTTGGCCTATAATGCCTCAGCATTGAGGAGGTGCTGTTATTTAAAATATGCAAGCTCTGTTGAGCAATTGCGACATTTTAATCTGTAGAAAAATAACACGAACAGTAAACTAAAGGTCACTTTGAATAATGAATTTCTACTCAGAAAAATCAAGGGGGAAACTCTGAGAGGAACAGGATGAAACAAGGAAATTAAAACAAATACCTTATTTTCCGAAATGACATCAAAGTGGTCCCACACGGCAGAAACCTTTCTTTTTTCTTGAGGAAGCTCCATAATTGTTGATGAATTTTATATTCGCAAAACACGCAAGATTGTTTTCTTCTTCTTCTTCTTCTTATGGGGTTTTATGGCGGTTGGCAGACTTGTGAATTGTGCATTACCGCCACCAACTGATATGGAGTAAAGCAAGAAAACAGAAACGATTCACCCCCCCCCCCCCCAAAAAAAAAAAAAAAAAAAAAAAAAAAAAAAAAAAAAAAAAAAAAAAAAAAAAACCTGTGTAACTTAAACCAACATAATCTAATACATTTCCCCTTTAAAATTTTTTAAATTTTATTAGGTATCTTAACTCTGCCAGTTTTGAGCCCCATCGGTCCCCCCATCATATTTCCAACCATCTCCCAGTTAAAATCTTAATGTCAGAATTTTTTTCGGGCAGCCTTCATATTTTTTATTTTTTTTTTTTTCGTTTTTTTTTTTGTTGTGCAGTACTTTTAATTATTCTACCATGAAAAAAAAAAATTTGTCTTTTAACAATAGGGGGTTTCATAAATTTTTTTGATTTCTAGAGGTTGGAATTTCCCGTGTGTTAAAACTGAGGTTTTTGGTTTTTCTGACTGAGTGGGATCCTTTTTGCGCTTCAGCGTAGGTTTTTCCGAGCTCAAATTTCATTTTTTTAATTTCCTCAGACCTTTTGCTTGCTTCACAGCCGCGTGGGAGCAGTTGTTCTCCACCAAAATTTAAAGCATTTTTTTTTTGCTTTTTTTCCCACATTTTCCGTATCTGTTTCCTGCACACCTTCCCACCTCTGTTTCCCCTTTAAAAAACTGCTGCAATGTGCCCAAAATTTTTGGCTTTTGAAACATCTAAATGGTGGAGGATTGTAGATTTTGCATTATGTTTATGTAACCGTTTGAATCTTTGTTTGGTAATTCTCTTCCTCAAATTTTTAATTAGCATGAAAACTGTCAGATCTTTCCCGTTTTTGTTGTTTTAACCTTTTTACTTCTTTTACTTTTGCACCGTTATGTTTTCCAAAATCTTTTTTCAGAAATTTTTAGAGGAACTCCCCCCAATGATCCCCTGCTGATCTTTTTGTTCCCATTGGGGCTGCACTGAATCTTATCCCGTAAATTTTTTTTTGATCCGTTTTGCTTTGCCTTGCTGGGCCCCCGTCTCTGCGTTAATTAGCAGGTCCCCACTGTACAAAAATTTGGGCCCCCTTTGCTTCTCCGACAGTTTATTGATGGTTTTTTTTAAAGTGAACCGGATTCCAATTTGTAAAAGAGTCTGCTGATTAAGACTTTGAATATGTTTTGATTCATTTTGTTGTGCTGGGGAAATGTATGGAATGATCATCACTGGATTGTTCTAAACTAGTTCCCCCTTGAACGACTCTTTTTTTCCCGCTTTTTTCATTTTTTGATGTTGCTATCTTCCACCTTCTTGTCACTATTTCCTTTCCCTCCCACAAGAATCGCTTCTGTTTCCCCAAAAATCCGGCCCCAAAACATTTCCCATAAAACGCTTTAAAAACCGGCCCATGCCCAAACGACCCTCCCACATGCCAAAGGCCCCTTTCCCACAACCCGTTTTCTTTCTGCCT